CTACCACCCTCTACCGCTCCGCCGAAGTTCCCCTGACTGGTGTTAAAACGTGCTCTAGACTGGCTTCTCCTTCTGCCAGCTACAGATTCCTTAATATTCGCAGCAAATTTACGGATACCACTTTTACCAAGGTGGACAATATCTGAGGTAAGAGGGCCATTTGCAGCAATATCCCATCTGCCATACTCATCAGAGAGCTGGCGACCAAAAATAGAGTTATCAATAATAAAAATGTTTCTTTGCTGATAAGACACATCGAGGATGCCCCGATTAAAGCTTTCAACTTTTCTATTTACAAAATGTCATTACAACTTGAACATTACATATGATTCAATTGTCACACTTTAAAGAAAATTACATATTTGGTAGATAGATTTATGTGATTTTTGAATCATTTAAGCACCCAGATCAAAAATTATCGCTCAAAGACCTTCAATATGGTATAAGCTTAGACATGGATTCAAAAATCACATAATAAGATTCATAGAATGAATATAAATTGTCATATCGTGCACTTAATTTAAGGCTTACTATAGTGTGACTTAATAGCGCACCTATAACGAAAATGTGACTTTTGAATCATATTAACTGGTTTTAATACTATTTAATACTATTTTGTACCCTAAAAAATGATAGAAAGCCAATAAAAACGTTAGATGATTCAATAATCACTGCTCAAAATAGGCTCATTTCCAACGTTAAAGTTGTGATTTTTGACTCATTTTGTCACCAATAACAATTTCAGATAAGACATTCCATTCCTTACATGCATTATAGTCACCATATCAATTTTGGCTTCTTTGTGAATATTACTTTTCAGATTATCTAGTGTTGATTCATCTTGCATTTCTAATTGTGTGACTTTTGACTCATTGGCACACTAATAACGATAACTCCTGTGATATAAGCACTAGAGACTCCGTGATTTCAGGATCATGAAATTTAATCGAATTTCTAAAGTTATAGATAGATATATCAACCAACAAAGAGCAATGACTATTTTTAAAACGCATTTAAAAAAATCAATCTTTAGTGCCACCTTTTTTTGAACGTGTCCATATAATACATTCAATTAAATCAAGTGATGCAATTGGCAGAGCACAGTCAAATCAAGTGTTGCAATTGGCAGAGGACAAATCACAATACATATATTATATATGTGTATATATACACAAATATTTTTAACACATCATCCACTCCATCATCGGGGCAGGGATGAGGTTGTATGAGACTTCTGATATAGAGGTCTCATGTTTGCTGTCAATCTTCTTTCCTCTGTACTGAACTGTCACATGGTCACAATCCAGCATATGTTCAGCTAAGGTTCCTTTTCAGTATAAGACTCTGCTCTTGTAAAAAAACTTACTAACTCACATATTGTAATAGAATAACACCCTTTGAGTCGAGTTGTATCTTCAACCTTTCACTAAGGAAATGTACATCTTAAACCTGATAATATCAAACGGTTAGATACCCCTTAGATACCCTTTCACTTCAGGGCAATTCCACGGTAAGGTTCCACTTGGTGAAAATGAAAAATGTTCAGATAGGCACCTAATTTTGGTTAAAATATGTTCATTAGACTCTTAACCTTACAAGTCAACAAAAGTTTTTTGTTTCATATTGCGTTAACTTTTGATTTTTCTCATTCAAAGGAACACTACTCGGAAATGAAAAAAATCGTTCAAATTTTCAAAGGGCCATAGTTTGGGTATGCAGCAATATTTCTCTATGAAATTCCATACACTTAGGCATATGCATAAGAATGAGAGCTATGCAAAGTTTCAAAACCGTTACTCAAATACTTTTTCTAAAAAATTTCCACAAAGATGGTGTCACGTCCGTCACAAAATTAAGCAAAAAAGTTTTTTCAGAGCCACATAGTGCTATTTATATTCAAAAAACCACTTTAGCCTATCTCTTCTGAAGGTAAGGGAGAACCGTAGAAATTATCAGGCTTGTATCTTTTAAGAAAAAAATTTTGTAAGGGGGGTCCCAACTTGTCGCGTCCGTCACATTTTTTTAAAAAATGCTCCAAAAAATCTTTAAACAGACTTTAAAGGCATTTTTCTTAAAGCTGAGGCCGTCCTCAACAAAACTATGTCGTCAAATCAAAAATTGGACAGAAAATGACCGAGTTATGTATAATTTTGTATATGCCCATATATGGGCATACGGCTCACTTTTAGCCATTTTTATCCATATTTCCATTATTTTGACTAAAACCAAGACAAATAGAAGTCAAATAAGGTTGGATTGTGTTGACTATGTTGACTAGACTATCAAATAACATCATATGCAATTCAATAATTTAATTTACTGATTTTTTGCCATTTTATTTGCTTACAACTTTTTCAGAGGTAAAAGGCACAAAAAATGGACTTAACCCTATTTTCGCATATTTTTGAAGTAAAAATTCAATATCTTCCACATTTTAAACACTAAAGTAATGAAACTTTTAGGAGATGGTCTCAACAGTATGATGCGTTGAACAGTGATAAATGTTTTACCAGAGTTATAAATTTGTTCAAGTAGAGAAATAATTGATGCCCCTAGACTGATACCCAAGCGTATGCCCAAAATGGACGATTTTGGCTGTTGCAGACCTCTTGGGGGTATTTGAGGCCTAAAAATTGGCATGAATACAGAGTAGATGTCACTGAACAAGATAAAAGTGTCAAGTGGAAGATTTGGAAAAATTGAAAAAAAACGTGTGTCCGTCACAGTCACGTCTGTCACAATTTGAGAATGGCGCCACGCAAACAAAAATTGAGCAATCTCTAAGAAAATGGCATCTCAGAAATCCCTAAACCTTCTTCTATCATTGTAATTCCAAATTAGATACAATAGATAACTTTTTGAGATAAATTTGGGTACCATCTGAGTAGACACCCAAAAAAAGTGTCATATTTACGTCACGTCCGTCACAGGGGTGCTATCTCAGAAAGTAATAATGGTAGGGGTCTGAAATTTTCACACAACCTGTAGAAAGGTTAAATGTGGACTAATAAACAGTTGGAGCTGATAAATAAACAACATCTCGAGTACAACATTCGTTTAAACTTTAAAAAACAACAAAATCGTGGTGTCCGTCACGGTGGAATTGCCCTTCAGTACATTTAAATTTTAGAGAGTGTTAACATAGTACTACAACTTAAACTAAAGTAGAAAAGTGATAGAAATTACACAAATCAAATCAATTAATAATGACACAAACATCATCATGTCATTCATATTTCTACAAAAATGTATAACACCTAAGACACATACATGCCACATGAAGAGGTCTCCTAGTTTTTGGAGTGGCCTGCATTGCACACATCTCTTGGACGGCGTAATAAGTCTCTCCATTCCACTCGGGTCAATGCTAACTGACATACTGCATCTCGGTTGATGTTGTCAACACCTGTTAAGTAAGCAGCATCCTCGAGAGGCCATCCAACCTTTTCAGGGGTCTCCTTCATGACCGCTTTCCATAGTTAGGTTTCCACCCCAGCCCATAATTAAGCTAAATTATAGGTGCGAAGACCCATAGAAAAGGAGCTAATTATGCATTCCAATACTAAATATAAGCTAATAAAACGTTTTTTAGCAAATTGGGGATTAGACTTACTTCATTGAAACATTCCAAAAATAACATTAATTTACAATACTTTTAGAAATCATATCTTTCTTGAATCCTTCTTATTTTAAAGCTTCTAGAACTGTCTCTGAGTTCTTGGCATCCAGAGAGAGTTTGTTGGGCTGGCTGAATACTACTGCCATTTTATAAATTTATAAATAAATTTCATGTAAACGGTACTAATTTTAGAAATTTCATTAACAAATTCTTTGAAATTTATTTTTAAAATTCTTAGAAATCTATTTCTTGGACGGCATATTGATTGATCCTCGACATCAAGTCAAAGGCTATCGGTTTTAAGAGTTTGTTACGATCATAATAGTAACGCCTAACTCGATTACCTTCCATATAATGTAGTGCATGTAAACGATTTGATACCGATAAAATTTAAAATTTACCGGTCAAATAATATAAAATATAAACACTCGATGCGATAATAAAGATTATAATTGTTATCAATTTGTGGTATTGATACAATTAAAAAGTCCTTCAAATTTTTCCATGATGTCCATTAGAATTAGATATAAGAACCTTTCACAGGGTGGCACAATTGATGTAGTCCTGTCAAACGTCACTTGTATAAATATTCCTCCAATAAAAAACGAGCATTTCCCTCAATATTGTACATTACAAAGGGAGAGACCCTCTCCTTAATGTCATCTACACACAAATTTAGATTGGTTCTGCTCATCCCAAACAAACCCCATACCATAATCAGCCAAGCAACTTAATTTTAAACCTTAAATGCTTCAATAAGATCACCACATATATCCACACTGTCAACCACTTTAGCTGGCATGTTAATTGGACAGCAGGCAGCAGCTGACATATGTTAGTTGAACATAAGCTGAGTAGTCTGCACTACTGCTGTGCTGCATTCGATTTAGTGACACACTGATCACCTGATTTGGTTACAAATAGAAAATGACAATGAATTTCTTATTACATGACTCATGTGATGTTTTCAAATATGATCTTTAAATTTGGGACAAAAACAAGCCGAAAAGAAAAAGAGCCAGATAATTGGACGATTAAAAAGACATAAGGCTGCAAAATTAGAAGTCTGGAAAATTTGTCATAGTCTTTATAGAGGTCATACCCTTCATCCAATGCAAATAATAGGTAATGTTTTCGATTATTTCTAGACACATTCTTTAGTACCTTTTAGAGTATTTATACTAACTATTGTGTTGGTTCACAGAATAATACTTTTGAAGGTAATTCATTGTTATATTATATCTGTTCTTATTAAGACTCGAAATTAAGTTGAATATGTTTCCAGTATATTGGCATCTATCTATCTATCTATATGTACTGTCACAATGTTCCTTATCATCCGGAAGTTGTAAAAACTGAACTGCAATACTTTATCAGGATCATGTCATCTTTGTTGCCATTTACACCTCCTATAGTAAAGAGACTTTTGAGTTGGAAGAGGGGAAATGGAGATGAAGAGGATAAATGGGCCGAAAAAGCAGTAAAATCTCTAGTGAAGAAGTTGAAGAAAACTGGAGGTGAGTTGAAATATTCAGCCACTCTAAAATAGTTTAAAGTTATGATTTTTTAAACTATTTATTTTCAAGCTTGACTTGTTGCTCCACATGATGTATTTTCTCCGATTGTACTATCTATTATAAGACAAAATGTTGGTCAAAGGTCATTGAATAATGCTATGATTTTGATTGCAAAATTGATTGAAAATTATTTATATTTTTACTATTTTCAGGTCTAGATGAACTAGAGAAGGCTATCACATCTCAAGGACCAACTCTTTGTGTAAAGATACCCAGAAGTTTGGATGGTCGCCTGCAAGTTTCTCATCGAAAGGTAAGATATTTAATTAACTTTACAGTGAATATTGAATAAGTATTACAGTGGACTGATTTGTGGTTGAAATCGGTGAAATTTTCACGTTATCTTTATCTTACCTTTAAGTGCGTTTTAATTGCGGCCGGAAAACGATCAAGAAAGGGCGATGTGTTACAAAGACAAGCTTTTTAATTTTATCTTAAAACCTGATTTCGAAAACTATACCGTCCATATAAATTACTCTTTTTCCAGGGTCTGCCACATGTCATATACTGCAGATTGTGGCGCTGGCCAGATCTTCAGAGTCACCACGAACTACGTGCTCTTGATTGTTGCGAGTTCGCCTTCCATCTCAAGAGAGATGAAGTGTGCGTTAACCCCTTCCACTACCAACGCATTGAAACACCAGGTTAGTCTGATGAAGATGCATATTTGTGTCTTTTGTATTTTTATAAAATTGAAAACAAAATGTATAATCGTGATATACATATCTAGTTTACGTCTGCGGCGATGACTCTATATATATATCCGATTCGAAGAAGTTGTTACGTCATCTTACAAGTGTATCAATACAACTTGACAATGCAGCTGACCCCGTGGATGCATCCCGCACAGTGAAAAGTTTAGGTGTCCTATTTGATCAATTCCTAACATTTGAAGATCAAATAAATTCAATTATCAGTTGCTGCAACATCCATCTGAGGAACCTTCGAGTTATAGGCTCAAAGCTTAACTATGATCTAAAAAGACAGCTCATTCACTGCTTGATCTTTTCAAAACTAGACTACTGCAATGGACTCTTATACGGTTTACCCGATCTTCTCATAAAGAAACTCCAGAAGGTACAAAATTCCTGTGTTCGATTCTTGTTTGGTTGGAAAGCTATCAAAAAATGGGACAGTGTCACTCCATTCCTGAAAAAAGCCCATTTTCTTCCAATACGACAACGAATAGAGTATAAGATTGCTCTAACCGTGTTCAAATGCGTCAACAACATAGCGCCGGAGTATATCACCAAATGTATTGACATCAAGAGTCAACCTGTACGTGTACTAAGAACTGAAGAAGACTATTTCCTCCTAAATGTTCCTCCTATTTCAAACTATAGTAAAACCGAGAGAAGTTTCAGCTACTGCGGACCCTCTGTTTGGAATCAGCTTCCTTATCAATTGAGAACACTAACTGATGTCGTCTTATTTAAAAAGAAACTGAAAACTCATCTCTTTGAAAACGTATTTGTATAAGTATCATGTATTACCTTTCTCATAAAATCCATACTTCATAAAAATAAGTTCTTATGTACATGTTACTCATGAGTCGCTTTAGATGGTTTGAACTGAATCTTTGGGTTTTGAGTTCTTTATGGCTATAAAGCGATGTATAAATTCCTACTTATTATTATTATTATTATCTGCATGACTTAAACAACTATGGCCGTGCTCATATAATGCACACAACCTTATAGTGTGCTCAGCAGATATTTACCTCCGTAACCTAGTTCCGGTATTTGTGGGCGGGTTTAAGGGTACCAACCACCATGAACTAACCACAACTAACAGTTCACTACCTGGGGGAGGCCTGGAAGCGGTAGCTACTTTTTTGAGATCAAACACATGCGGCCCGCCCCTGAGGCTGCTCACTGAGCCTTTGCACACGCACACACATATTCAGTATTCAGTACGATATACCGTAACACTCTTAACAAGGCACAGGCCCACCTTTTTCTTCTGTAGAAAGTAATATGTTATAACAAGTGTAAAAGAGTTGTGACTCATCAGAGGATTGTTTTATTGCTCCGGCCTGTTTGTAGATAACATTAAGGAGAAGGTCTCTCCCTTTGTAATGTACAATATTGAGGGAAATACTCGTTTTTTATTGGACGAATAAATACAAGTGTCGTTTGACAGGATTATATCAATTGTGCCACCTTGTGAAAGGTTCTTATATCTAATTCTAATGGACATCATGGAAAAATTTTAAGGACTTTTTAATTGTATCAATACCGCAAATTGATAACAATTATAATCTTTATTATCGCATCGAGTGTTTATATTAGGGGTGGGCACGGATAGCAATATTTTTGGGTGATGTCATGAATTTTTAAACGGCCCTGTTTTTTGGGTAAAGGGACCTCCAAAATGAAAAAATAACTTGGTTTGGGGTCAAAAAAGCCCAAAATAAATATTTCCCGCCCCGTTTTCGGTTAGCGGGAGGGTCATTTTTGACGTTTTTGACTAAAATTGGCTTTATTTAATTCATTTTCACCTTTTACACCTCATTGTTACCCATGATTGTGAATCATTATTGACAAACCAGGTAGGGTTAATGATTTCAGCCATCTAAAAATTTTCTGAAGATCCCCAGGGTGCCCGTATCCATGGAAACGGGTCGTTTTGAAAAACATTTAAGCGAAATCAGCCAAAATGTTTGTTTTTACCCCTTTTTGCCATTCAAAGACTTTTAACATGGCCAAAAGTACCAGAAAGACCATTATTGTATATTGTAACTTGTATGCCAACTATAAAAGGTATAAAAACATGATGTTAGGTGTTTTAGTGGTATTTTTGGGCCTTAGCAACGCCTAGCAACGGGGCGTTTTAGGCATTTTAGAGGTTAATACATGTCATTTTAATATCTTACACTCTATTGTTACTAATGAATGTTGATTATTATTAACATACCAGGTAGGGTTGATGATTTCAAGCTTCCAGAGCTCATCTGGAGGCATATTGGGTGCCCGTAACCATGGAAACTCGTCTTTTTTACGAAAAATTGAGATTTCAGTGAAAATTAGGGTTTTTTATAACTTTATGAATTATGATCCATAAATATTATACTAGTTATCCTTTATAAACCCTATGACAGTTGTGTATTGGGAGATAAAATGGTAACTAATGTCTAACACTTGAGGGAGATAAGTTTTCCCACTATTTAGGCCCCTAGCAACCCATAGCAACGACGATTTACATGCAAAATAAGGCATAAAATACCACTATTTGACCCAAAACTGCTGAAAATTGACCTGGGTCATGGTAACAACGGTTTAAAACAGTAAAGTGATCACAATTAAACTATTGATGTTAGGGTTCCTCACTATGTAGGCCCCTAGCAACCCATAGCAACACCTAGTTACGTGAGTCTTGGTCGTACCTTCAATACCGATTGTCTGTAAGGTATGAGTGCCTTTCCTAACTTGCCAAATCCTGGCAAATCCAGTAACGTGTAGATCCTTTAACAGAACTCATGAAAGTTATGGTTGCAGAATCCCCATTCACACTGAGGACCTCCCTTGGGTAAAATGTATCCTCAAACAGCCCTATTACACAGTTTTTCTTCTTACATGGCAAACTCTCATCAGTATTACCAAACTGAACTTGATCTGGATTACCATGACCAATAGAATGGGGCTGTAAGGGTTCTCACTGCTCTTCAACAACTCTGGGGCTTTTCTGATACCGGTTTAGCTAGCCAATTGTTTAAACAAGATCTTGTAGAACGTGTGAAGCTTTACATTTTGTAATAACTTCCACCACCTTGGTTTCTTCATACAGCAAGTCAGCTTCCTGCTGGAACACACTCTTGAGTGACTGCTTCTGTTCCCCTTCAAATTTGAATGTCTTAAAATGTAACTTACAAACATCGACCTCGTAAGGATGGTCTTCTGATCGAATTGATACAGCCAGTATGACTGGAGGAAAGGAGGACACGAACAAAAATCAAGCGATGTCAAATCCTTTGGGTAAGTTAATAGGTCATGATATAGGCCAGGAAGGATATGAAGTAGACGTTCTGGAGGCTGCTATCATTGGCTATCAGGGTAAAAGTCTTGCCCCAGTAAGTGTAGAGGATCTCCCAGTTACCAAGTCAAGCCCCAGAGTTATTGAAGAACAGTTAGAACCCTTACAGCCCCATTCTATTGGTCATAGTTATCCAGATCAAGTTTAGTGTGGTGAAACTGATGAGAGTTCGCCTCCTAAGAAGAAAAACTGTGTAATAGGGCTGTTTGAGGATACATTTTACCCAAGGGAGGTCCTCAGTGTGAATGGGGATTCTGCAACCATAACTTTCATGAGTTCTGTTAAAGGATCTACACGTTACTGGATTTGCCAGGATTTGGCAAGTTAGGAAAGGCACTCATACCTTACAGACAATCGGTATTGAAGGTACGACCAAGACTCACGTAACTAGGTGTTGCTATGGGTTGCTAGGGGCCTACATAGTGAGGAACCCTAACATCAATAGTTTAATTGTGATCACTTTACTGTTTTAAACCGTTGTTACCATGACCCAGGTCAATTTTCAGCAGTTTTGGGTCAAATAGTGGTATTTTATGCCTTATTTTGCATGTAAATCGTCGTTGCTATGGGTTGCTAGGGGCCTAAATAGTGGGAAAACTTATCTCCCTGAAGTGTTAGACATTAGTTACCATTTTATCTCCCAATACACAACTGTCATAGGGTTTATAAAGGATAACTAGTATAATATTTATGGATAAAGTTATAAAAAACCCTAATTTTCACTGAAATCTCAATTTTTCGTAAAAAAGACGAGTTTCCATGGTTACGGGCACCCAATATGCCTCCAGATGAGCTCTGGAAGCTTGAAATCATCAACCCTACCTGGTATGTTAATAATAATCAACATTCATTAGTAACAATAGAGTGTAAGATATTAAAATGACATGTATTAACCTCTAAAATGCCTAAAACGCCCCGTTGCTAGGCGTTGCTAAGGCCCAAAAATACCACTAAAACACCTAACATCATGTTTTTATACCTTTTATAGTTGGCATACAAGTTACAATATACAATAATGGTCTTTCTGGTACTTTTGGCCATGTTAAAAGTCTTTGAATGGCAAAAAGGGGTAAAAACAAACATTTTGGCTGATTTCGCTTAAATGTTTTTCAAAACGACCCGTTTCCATGGATACGGGCACCCTGGGGATCTTCAGAAAATTTTTAGATGGCTGAAATCATTCACCCTACCTGGTTTGTCAATAATGATTCACAATCATGGGTAACAATGAGGTGTAAAAGGTGAAAATGAATTAAATAAAGCCAATTTTAGTCAAAAACGTCAAAAATGACCCTCCCGCTAACCGAAAACGGGGCGGGAAATATTTATTTTGGGCTTTTTTGACCCCAAACCAAGTTATTTTTTCATTTTGGAGGTCCCTTTACCCAAAAAACAGGGCCGTTTAAAAATTTGGAAAATTTGCATTTTCGTGCCCACCCCTATTTATATTATATATTATTTGACCGGTAAATTTTAAATTTTATTGGTATCAAATCGTTTACATGCACTACATTATATGGAAGGTAATTGAGTTAGGCGTTACTATTATAATCGTAACAAACTCTTAAAACCGATAGCCTTTGACTTGATGTGGAGGATCAATTAATATTCAATATGCACTCCAAGAAATAAATTTCAAAGAATTTGTTAATGAAATTTCTAAAAATAGTGCCGTTTACTGGTTTACATGAACTGTATTTATAGATTTATAAAGTAGCGGTAGTATTCAGCCAACCCAATAGAGCTAGTTGGTTATTTTAATCAAGGAATGGCACAATATGATCATTCTTAAAGTGAGGTCCTAACTTATGTAATTAATTAATCTTAAAGTCTTAACGTTTTAAACCAGCTCACTCACTTACGTATTAAACCAGCTCACTTACTCACTTGATTATATTTTGTAAATATACCGTGTTTGGACCTGACTACTTTATTACTTAATACTAATAATATTGATTTAATTTGTCTACCGCAACCTCTTAATATTAACCTCAATTAATAAAGTATTTGACATATTTTATCTCCCTCAGTATTACCACCGGTTTTAGTCCCTCGCCCTCACAACCTGGATCATTTTGCTATAAAGTCAGAGTTCAAATCTCCGGGAAACAACCTGCTGGAAAACCAATACTCTCCTGGATCTCAGAGTGATACCAACAACAACTTCTCCATGTCAGGTTAATTAACGCTAACGATTTAAGTTATTATTAGTTAATAGTTATATTAGTTGCTATTGTGGTTTTTAAGTGGGTGTTGTTCGATTTTGTTTACTTCATTTCATTACGTCATGTTTATTTTCCAAAATCCAAGAATTATTCTTCCACCCCCACATATTGGACCCGTTGTTTCTGTCATTGAGATCAGATATTTAAGTGATATCCTCGCGAAATGGAGTAGCGTTCTTACATAGTGGGCATCAATGTATATATACTTACTGTCGCTCTGAACCTTTATTAGTCTACTTACAAATTAACATATTTAAAATAAAACTTTTGTACACTGTCTTCTTCTGATCATTAGTCACCTTGATCCCGAAACTTTTCTGATTTCTAAGTAGGGCAGCCAAATACCGAACTGTCAAAATGGGCCTAGTCTGACGTTGATTTGCCAGACTTGACTAGACTTTGACCTCGGAGATCGGTCGAATGAAAAGCATTGTAAACTTGAGCTCTTCTTCACCATTTTTTGCATTAACATTAGAATAAAATAATATGGCATATCGTCTGCATAGTTCTCAATGATATGCCCGGTATGTTGTTCAGAAAGAGCTTCAGTCGAATTGTTCCTATTTTCCTTTGAAGTTTACCAAAAGCCAATCGGGAAATGTGACTTTGTCCGTTTCATGCGTTGGATTTAGTGCTGAACAAAACGCTCAGAAGACTTCTTGATTAAGTTTCTTTGCGAGGGTGACTTAAATTCAGGACAAGAGGAGCTCAAATAGGGAGCATGGATGTGACCTGGTTCACCACTTACTCACTTACAACAGACAAATAATCAGTTTGCTCCTTGACAGCCTGACGCTCATAAACCTTCTGACGTACACGTCTTAATAATAATAATCTTTATGATTTAATGTTTGAATAATTTACACATATTTTACTACCCCAAAATAAGTTACTGGAAAATTTCCTTTAATATGACTATAATATAACAAATGAATTATGAACATATTATAATATATAATATTCAAATAACATCATCATCATCATCATCACACTACAAAGTAAATTTTCAGAAGATTGCATGATTGCAAGGCTATTCTTTGCTCGTACTCTACCTCTAACACTAACTCCCCCACAGTTGAATCTCCACCCTCGTACCTGTCCTCTCCGGAGCCGCACTCTCAGCCGCCTCCCACCGCTCAGCCCCCCACTGCAGACAGTATCACTTCCTCACCGCAGAGTGTTATCCACAGTCCCATGACTCCGGACATCAGGCCTCCAACCTCTCCTGCCATACCTCACCCTCTTACTCACCACAATATTCCTGCAGGTACGTTTGTTCGCTTATCATGGTCAGAAGAATTTAGTGACAGTAAAACCACGATTCACCGTACAGTTTGGAAAAAGAAAATAGTACGGTAAATCAGGGTTTCACAGTCGGTTTCTCTCTGCAGAGTATTGGTTAAAGGAGTTATGCCTTCTGGTTCACAAGCAGTCAAATAAGGATTAGACAAGGGAAGTGATGAGCCTGACTAGCTCACTTCAGGGACCCATTTATCAGTCGTATTTTAAAAGATCACGTGATACCCAACTAATAATGTAGAAATTGTTGGGGAAAGGGAAGAGATTAGTAATTTGGGGTTTACGGTTAATCCGGGTACGGTAAATCGGGGTTTTACAGTATTATAAAAATAACAAATATGTTTCAAAAATGGTTGAATTAGCGACAAGGGATTTATCACATATCCCGCGTATTTGTAGATGAACTTGGCAGAATGTGTCTCCAGGAACCCATTGATTGTTCGCATAGAGAGATATAGATACGATCACCGGAACCAAGATTAAGACAGTGTTAGCGATTAAATCGGATACTGCCACGTTTTGTATGATCCTAACCGAGAGCCTTTCCATTTTTGTAGCCTCATAATGGTAGACTGTTGAGTAAATCACAAGACTGTTTCCGAGAAGTCCCAGGAGAGGAGATGTGTGACACCAGACTTGTCATAAAATATTAACTAATGTCATGCCTGAAAAACAATGAGATTTGGGTATTTAATTCTTGTTATGCATACAGAAGAGTACTGAAAAGAGATTAAATCAAAACTATACTAACTAAGGTTAGACTGACTGGTGTTAAGTTTGACTCAAGTAAGTGAGAAGAGAAGGAAGCCACTGAACGCTTAAACAATAAACGTGAGCACCATACTCATAAATTAATGAGCTTTATGGCCATTAAAATGGTTACTGAAGGTTAATGTTGCTGTTTTAACACTTTTACACTCAGTGCAGATAAAGTTAAGACTGCGTGTAAGTTGTACTGGTGATGTAAATATTTTATGGGCTCAGCCCATAAAATAGTCACATAAAAATGACGAATGGTTCACATATATGAGACTGAAATTATTGAAGTTTCCAAATGAACAGAAGTATGACTACAGTGCACACTAGTACCAGTTATACTCGCAGTGGGCACACTAATGATGTGATAGATAATATAGATCAGTACCACGTGATCTTCAGTGCCACGTGTGCTACAATACCATTTGTAACTTATCGTTTGGTATGGTCTAACACTTAGCTCTACTTCTTTCGGAATGAATCATAACTATTGGTCTATTCGGGGTATTACCAATGGTAATGATATCCTCCAAGTCTTTAGTAGCTCCAACTCTTTAGTAGTCCCTAGTCTTTAGTAGTCCCTAGTCTTTAGTAGTCCCTAGTCTTTTATAGTAGTCCATAGTCTTTAGTAGTCCATAGTCTTTAGTAGTCCCTAGTCTACTCGACAATACTATTACCAATGACAATTTGTTCATGATGCTAAACAGTAAACTCCCCCAACGAGCAGGGAATGAGGGGAGGTCATTACTATGTATATTTATATTGGTCTAGTGGGGATAGAACGACTCAAGTTTGGGTAGGATATTTTGATAGGCACAAACCCTCAAAAACTACAAACTTCACGAGTACGAGCTGGGGTTGATAGATCCTCAAGATTTATTTTTTAATATCAGGACGTCAGTATCCTTAAAATTTATGGTGTTCTCAGAATTTGTGATGTACTTGGAATTAAACATGTAGTCTTCATATGCTCCAAATTCAAATAAGCTCTCTGATTAAATATATTTTATCGTTTAACAATCATCTTATTAAGTGACCATGCCCTTCCTTATATGAGCAATGAGCCACTTCATATATGAGACCTGTTACGGAACATACAGTCAGAGTCTTAGCTTCAAGATAAATACCAAAATCCTTTTTATCAGCTGGCGTTAAGTTTAATTTCATAAACTTTTGCTGGAAACTGACATAGATGCAAAATATTCGAGATATACAAATTTTACTCCCTCTTAGTCCCTAGTCTCTCGTTGTCCCTAGTCTCTCGTAGTCCCTAGTCTCTCGTAGTCCTTAGTCTCTCGTAATCCCTAGTCTCTCGTAGTACCTAGTCTCTCGTAGTCCCTAGTCTCTCGTAGTCCTTAGTCTCTCGTAGTCCCTAGTCTCTCGTAGTCCCTAGTCTCTCGTAGTCCCTAGTCTCTCGTAGTCCCTAGTCTCTCGTAGTCCCTAGTCTCTCGTAGTCCCTAGTCTCTCGTAGTCCCTAGTCTCTCGTAGTCCCTAGTCTCTCGTAGTCCCTAGTCTCTCGTAGTCCCTAGTCTCTCGTAGTCCTTAGTCTCTCGTAATCCCTAGTCTCTCGTAGTCCCTAGTCTCTCGTAGTCCCTAGTCTCTCGTAGTCCCTAGTCTCTCGTAGTCCCTAGTCTCTCGTAATCCTTAGTCTCTCGTAATCCCTGGCCCCCCTTATCCCTAGTCTTTCGTAGTCCCTAGTCTCTCGTAATCCCTAGTCTCTCGTAGTCCCTAGTCCCCTCGCCAATGACATTACCAATGACAATTTCTACATGTTCTGACACTAAACTCTGTGTCAATATTAGCGTAAGTGAAGTGTCTATTACAGTATTACGTCTCACCAATCCCGTATTGGTTATTTTCGGTTGTGAACATGTTATCTACTAGGCTAGATTCACAATTCTGCTGAATCGCATAAGTGTTATTGCGATAAATTCCGCGTTTTACTAATGTTACGCCATATTCGTCTGTTGAATAGGAAGTTTACATCAAATGGTGTGTGTGAACAAGGCTTAGTTAAGCTAGTATAATGTTATAATTTAGTGCCTAAAGGCGACTAGCAGATGAAATTACCTTTTCTAAATATAATTTTACTTGATTATAACAACTCGTGACGTAAAAAAAGAATTAAGTTTCTGATGAGATTGGCGAATAAGCTGGTCTTACATTTTTATCTGTATTGTCGTCACCGAGATACTCCGATCGTTTTTGTCCTGATGACTTAATTCATTTTGAGTAATGCACGGAAAGCCGGAAGCGTGTTCATAAAACTAAGATGCAGTATATTTTTGAATTTTAATCAACTGTAATTTACTTATTAATATATATTATATAAATTATTCAAAAGGGATCGTCACATGCAGTGGTCACCAAAATAATTTTCATTAAAAAAGGTAAAATATTTCAAATCGAATTATATATCTAGGTGAATTTATAACGATCATATCGAATTAGTCTGCTCAATTTATCATCTCACCTTCACTATAGTGGCTATAGATTGATTACAATGCAGCACTGTGTTCAAGAGACCTACCAAATACAAGGATTACATCACTATATACACTGCAGTACTATTACTACTACTAGTAGCCGCTACTATGCAAATATCTTTACATCGTACTGAAGCTTGGTACTTAGCAGCGGCTCACTTGCTGATATTGTCAGTCTAAGTGAGGTTCAATTATTTATAATGATTGATGCGGTCAAATACTCATGTTTTGTTACCCTCACTCTTGTGTCATTTCTATTTTCGATACATTTGAAGCTTTACAAATCCTAAATATGGCAAGAACTAATCAGCAAAATTATGATTTCATAGAAGGTTCCAATATCAGCTTTCAGTACCTACCTGAACATGATAATTTAAACGGTAATTTAGTGTTTATGAGCTGATATAATCACGCTGCTCAGATTGGGTGACTACGATTATCGTTAAATAGGTGAAAGTGGCGGTGACGAACTTGTCATTACGTATCAATGTATCTTATAGAGACTGAGCCTCTGTCTACTTGGAAGTTTGCCCTTTGAAATGGCCGCGCCACCAACTACATGGTGCACTTTGATACCTATTAACTGTACTGGCTACTGGCTACACTGGCTTGTTAATCGTTATCCGTAGACACCTGTGTCTCGACGATAGCATTATGTCACATTATATCAGCTGGTGTGTTATTCAACTACATAAATTATACGAGAGTTTCAGAAGCTTTCAACCAATTTGTGTTAATCATCTTTAGTCTAGGAGATGTTTTCTGCTTCGTAGACAGTACTCAAATTTGGCAAACTACTATCTATTCTCATTATATTCCTTTGTTCGAGGATAATTGCAAAACTTCTAAAACTATGTGCCGATCTTTTAAAACGACGATCTTTTTAAACGGTACCAGTTTTTAATCACTTTGATTGTAAAGTGTTCGACTGAATATCTGATTGAAGAAAAATACTGCACTATTAACCCGAATTTAAGGATACTTAAAATTAACAGTTGTCCTTGTTCAGAGTTCCAAGCGATACAATTTGTGGAGCCCAAGTTTTGGTGTGACATATCCTACTACGAGCTGAACAACAGAGTGGGGGAGGCTTTCCACGCCAGTGAGAGTAGCTTGTGGATAGACGGCTTCACCGACCCCAGCAACAAGTAAGATTTTATATTGCTATTCTTGTAGCCAACTCCAAAACGATGTTTGCACAGTTAATACCTAAATATAGTAAACTCTCTCTCTCTCTAACTAAAAGTGGGGTTGATGATAGCTTGAGGTAGGTGGGCAGATTGGTAATCCCCTGTCTCACGCCAATACAGCTCGGTTAATTATCTGTACTCAAGACCACCTACACCCCTCCAACTATCATCCATGACCACTCCGACTAAGTTTTAACACATTTTGTTACATTTACGACTACACAAACACAAGACGCTATAATTATTTATACACTCAGTAGGGTTACCTGGATGTTATTTCAGCCGGAGATTCTGTCTGGGCCAATTAACTAACATCAATAGGACGTCTCCAGTCGAGAAGTGCCGGAAGCAGATAGGTTAGTGTGAATGTCAAGTTTCGAGTGTTAATAACTGACTGTTACTACAACATGTGATCGTGTATTCTCCGCTTGTCATGTTTTCTCTCTCTCTCTCTCTCTCTCTCTCTCTCTCCTTCTCTCTCTCTCACACAATTGCGACCGGCTCTAGCTAGGCTCTTGTCTAAATATTTGTTAGGAATATGCTCTTGTATTCGCCGACCAAGGGATAGGTTACATAAATGGATTTTAGGAAGGCTGATCATTATTTTTCTCCGGACTGTGCCGTCAGCCAATAGTTGCTGAGAGATTACCTAGCTTGTGGCGGCACCTCTGTGCCATGTTCAAACAAGTGTGCTTCGATTGCCAAAAATGAATAACGATTCCTGTAGGCGTCACCGTACTGTATTACACATAACACTTTCCGTAATTGTTTAATAAGTATTAGGTCATTGTTGGAGAATGGGCCTACTGTCTTGCATTATCGATTAAAGGGTCTTCTTGTCCGTTGATTTGTCTAATCCGTGCCGCGCATATGAATATTCAGATTGCGCGCGCATGTACGACTTTGTCAACAGGTTCGGACCCAGACGATCCAAACCTTACTTGGAGTAGGCTAAAAAGGTAATAAAACTTTCTAATCAGGAAGAAATATGGCTAATTAAATGAGAAAATTGTACTTCCATGTGCGGGTAATAGTACAGTGGTTCACAGCCGCTCTTCTCCGCAACTGAAAGGATCGGAACTCAGATGAGTGTTCTCCCTATAAAAAGACTTGACGTAACCCGAGTTCGGTCATTACTACACGATTAGCCAATAAGAATGGCGAGTGTAGTCCACGTGACGTATTTCCGTCCAATCAGAACGGCAGATTATCGTGTCATTAGGCTGACGAGACGCGGCCGGACGGGATACAGGGCCAAATGTAATCTCAAAACGCTCTCACTAATTCCGAGCCTAGTCTATGAGAATGGCGTACTTTATTTTGTTATCAGATTATGTATTTCCAATACTATTCCAGCCCTGGATACACATGCTCTCACATTATATCGGGTAATGGTTAGCCGGGGCACATGCTGCACTGGAACACAGTAGTTTTGAGGGAATGTGCGTGCGAGGAGGCCAGCTAGCTATCTAGCCAACAGGGTGATGTATGTAATGTCAAACTATCTCAGACATTGAATTGTGTTGTAATTAACGCCGGCGCCCTCCTCACGTAGTCTAGACTCCACATCACAAACAATAGAGCAGGCATCTGAGCTTACTTCTTTCTATCCCGGGTATAGTTATCAGGGAAAAGAGAACGATTCATGGTCTGAGCGATTGTGAGTTACAATGCGCCCTGCTATGTACTGCACAACACTATAGTCCAGTTAGTACCGCTTAGACAGATGTCGATAGTTAACATGAAGATCTTTTGTCCACCATGTGGCATACTTGACAAGTTCGCCGGGGGTTATCTTTCAGTCAATCATCGATTATATAAACATGCTGCACTCAGCCACAGACACTGGAAGCTGTACAAAATTCCGGCTGATTCGGGAAGGGAGCCCTTTCTCGCAGGAAATTAATTAGCACTCAATGAAACTGAGAGGAAAACACCTAACTTTTACCTTTTTGTATCGGCGGTCCCGGCTTATTACCTAGTCCACAGCTGTTTGTTTAACATATCAGCTAATCAACTCTTTTACATGGAAACCCCCCAAAACAGGAGAACTATTAGGTAATTTAATATATTATACAGTATTATTATATAATATGTGTACCACTGGAACCCACAAAGGTGTGTTTTGATAGGACGGTGGTGTGACTTACTCCCTGTGTGAAGTCTGCACAGTGTATATTGTGACACTATTAAACAGTTGTTATAAAGCGTTTATTATACTGATTGCATCAGGCGGAAGATAGAAAACTTCAGAAGTTGATTTCCCCTGACTAGGATTTGTGACCGTAGCCGGGGTAGTTATTCTCCTCTCCCTCCCTCGCCAGTGTAATCGCATCATGTCAGCACAAAATATCACTACCCGATATATTATATTTGAAGCCCTACCCCGGCCTGAGACTCCGGTGGATCACAAGTCTCGATCCACTGGGATTATTACATGTACTATATCCTGGTTATACCTGAAGTACTCGTGATGCGTGTACGTAGTCATTAGCCATATTCTATAATCGTAGTATTTAGTCTTTATCTGACAAATGAAGGCTTTGTTCGGCCTTAGAGATGCTGTCGGATGTACCTGACATTTTGAATCAAACCGGTCAAGACCAGACTGCAGAGAAAAAACATCGTTAATTTTAAAGATTTTCCGGCCAAGGAACACCGAATATCGTTACTTCACACCTCCACAGCTCGGTCTTCTTTCCCAACTTGTAGCCGTATTTTAAAAGTAGAGTTCCCCGTTCTATACCATAACCCTGCTTTGCATTGCCAGCTTTACCTGGAAAGTGGTATATAGAAACCAAGATTTCATAATTCTGAACTATCTTGCCTACATGGGTTAAGGTAGGTATAGTTTAACAGGAGAGGGAACGTTTCTCTTAAAATAGAAACTTGGACGTCAACCAATATCTGAATATCCTGTCTAGCAGTAATTGGTGTAAAAACCCAATTATTTCTGAGCTAACTTCAACTTTATTCCAGGTAAAGGTATCCACCTGCAGTACGTACAGGGTGAGGTGCACGCAGTCTGTCTCAGTGACAGCTCCATCTTCGTTCAGTCCCAGAACTGCAACCAGCGGAACGGCTGGCACCCCAACACCGTCTGCAAGATCCCCACCGGCTGCCATCTCAACATCTTCAACAACACCGAGTTCGCTAACCTTCTCTCCCAATCAGTGAGTACAGACCTGATAATTTTAGGATCTCGCCATAAGTAAGTCTAGAAACTGGGAGAATCTCTCTCACTAAGTTTTACGAACGAATGGGAGCTGCAATATGTATGTGAATGTTGGTAAATTGCTGACGTCAATTAACAATTAGACATGTTTAAAGCAATAATCTGCCGTTTTTCTTGAAATCACAAGTTCCATCATGTGCCGCTATTTAAAACTTTGCCTACATATTTGGGAAAAATTTACTGATTCATCGAGAATTAAGGGACTTGATTTAAATGGTTTGATAAATGATGTGTCAATTGATACAACAATGAAGCTGCTTTAAGCTGTATAGTTGAGCAGCTAAAGGGATCATTAAATTTCAGTATTAGAAATAAAGCGGCCGGTTGGGTCGCGATGTGGGGTTAATTGTACCGCCTCTCTCACGGCTAATGGTTTCTGTCTGGTATCGAGACACAGTTTAACGACGCCTCTTCCCCAGCTTTTCTAACGCCTCTTCCCCAGGTGGGTCACGGTTTCGAGGCGGTGTATCAGTTAGCTCGGATGTGCACGTTCAGGATATCCTTTGTGAAAGGTTGGGGAGCGGAATACTCGCGTCAAGATGTCACTTCAACCCCCTGCTGGATAGAGGTCAAGTTGAATGGTCCTCTGCAGTGGCTCGACAAGGTTCTCTCTCAGATGGGTGCCCCAAACCTGACGTGTGGCTCTGTGTCCTGAGCGCACTTCCCTACCTCCTGAGTTAGATATATCTGCGAACAGTCGGCTGCATCCTGTTGCTTTCTGGAACAATTGCAGGGTACACGCCACCACTTCCGGTCAAGAGAGAGAGAAAGAAACGAGTCTGGTGACCCATTTTTACACCCTAGCTCTGCATGATTTGGCTCGTGCGTTTGTGTGTGCGTGTGTGTGTGCGTGTGTGTGTGTGGGACTGTATTAGTCTGGTACAGACAGTGTATATATGCCAGCCGGTGGGCCGGCGCTGTGTTGACCTAGCGTTGATAGGTCCGAGTACGTACAGCCGGCTACACTGACCACTTCACTAATCCAGGCGGGACACTGATATAAAAATACTTGTCTACTACCTCTGGTGCACTTCTAACTGATCTCTCCTTCTCCGACTGTAGAGCGTGTATCTCAATCAGCGCCCATTCTGCGCTTACTTTATCATGTACAAGACCTCCATATATAATATTATGAGCGGGACCAGTTCCTGATATGCGATGTTATTGTGTGATAAGATAACATACACGCAACTCTTCGTAGCATGATGTGCATCTATGTTGCATGAACCGATCGATATGTACAAAATACATTTTATAGAATATATTTCTGTTTTTAATTTCTTTTATTTTTCCGCACTGAGGCCATGTTTATGTTAGTTTTATGAAGATGTCAGTCATCCTGTGATAACAAAAGTAAATAACTCGGTGAGCTTGGGTAACCCCGTTAATTTATCAATCAGTGCGTTAACAGTGTGTATACGCTAAAAATGAAAAGTTTCTCCCCTATTCCGACCTGTCACCAAAATTTCAAACACTCTGCTAGGGCTTCGTCTGAAATCTCTAGTCTATTAACTGAATGTTCCGAGTGTTGGAGGGGGCGGTAGTAGTTACACAGGCGGGACGGTCTAACTGTCATCACTTACTAGCCCCGAGCTTGTAAATGGGGGTCTCCTCGGGTCCCAGTGATATAATGGTCATGTCCACCTAGTTCATTAAATCATTTTTCAAATTCGCCAAGATGGTGATGTTATTATAGTGAATCATCTTGATTCAGAAATTTGAGCAAGATTGGACGGTTTGACTTTCTAGTTGTCCCTTTAATTTAACTTTAAGGAAATTGGCCAGTCTAACTTTAACAGATTCAAATTCCAGACGGATGAGGGTGGGGTTTAAGTTGCGGTAAGAATTGTAGTTACAGACTGGGTGGAAATTAAATCTTTCCAAATTGCAAGCTTAGCGACTCACCACTGAGGGCCGAGCAATCAGTTACCAATCAAGAGGCTTCATGAGTTGTCGAGAGTTTTACCCTACGTAATTGTAATACATCCACAATGTCCTACCTTAAATAAAGGGCTGATTTAATGGTTGATTAAACAGAACATATCTGATCTCTATTTCTTTTTTGAAAAGCACTTATTTTAACACGTAAACCTATATTCAGTCCCTTTAAACCTTACGTAAGTATTGTTTACTGCGGTAATATGAATTTAATCCTCTTCGTCGCCGATTTCGGCTTGTATTAATGTATTTTAGTTGTGGAATGTGAATTTTCGTATTGGTAAATCTTTTCGAGACCCTTGGTGATTACACCTCTTCAGCTGTTAATGTTTGGCGTTTGCAACTAAAAATGAAATATTAAACTGCAAATTGGTTTGCAGTCCCTGTACCATGAGGTTGTGTTTAACTTTAAGATGCCATGAAATAGTTAGAATGAAATTTAAGCTGGAATTTGTTTGCTACATGAGTTTATCTCTTTATAAATTGCTTTATAGTAAAATATATTTTAATTTGGCTAAAATGTACGATTTGTTATTTCACTATCATTGATGATGAGCAGCAGCTCAAAATGTTGTTGCTGACAATCATGGGACCATTTTGCGCGGCATACAGCGCTTACAGTTTCTGAAATCTACAGCTGAATTATGAATTAACTAGACTCCAGATATCTCTTAAGGTTAGAGAGCAAATGGTTACGTTAAACCTTATTTTCAACACCATGATTATTGATTCCTGTCACTGTATCAAGCGATCAGCTAGGGTCTAGACTCCAAAGGTTTGCCATGACCCCAATTCCCCCATACCATGTTGCTATAGGTTAATATTCGAGGCTGAGCAAGGCACTACTGAACTGAATGTTGGACCCTGTTATAGCGTATTTAACTACAAGAGGATTGGGAAATGGACACAAGTGCAAATCACAGATTACAACCTCTTACAAAATTTTGAAATGGGGGTGAAATCTGGCAAGACTGCACCGGATTAGGACGCCAATTTCTGAAAGTGAAGATGAGAGGTTGTATTACTATTGTGTATATAGGTTGTTCCATCGACTACTTGCTGTAAAAACGTAGACACTGGCGTGCACAATCACAGTTACATTGCTGGTATTAGCTGTTCCACGACCACAGCAAAGTGGATTGCAAATTTCGCGAAGTTAAGAAGTTATCTAGCTACGCTGCCACATGGCAGCTTTTGAGACGTCTCTCATCTTTTATCTTAAGCATTGTCGGTAAACAGTAAAGAAATTTGTGTATGAACTATCAACCAACCAATTTAATTGGTTGGTTGATAGTTCAGACAATCACAAAGAGCATATTCTTTTTTCAGATGTATGCATAATGCATATTGCATATCAGGAAAATGTGATCCTAACGTTTTGGTTCATTAAAGTTAAACCAGGGATCGTTCTCAGGATGAAGATTAATCCGATCGTGCTAAATCACTCTACACTTGACACCCCCCCCCCCCTCAGTTTCACCTAACCATGAGCCTACTCGTGCTACATGCAATCGGGAAGCGCGAGGGCTCTGGTTAGATCAACCCTAAGTGATTACGTAATACTAATATGTTTACTGGGCGGCGCTCAGCCTGTCATTCCGCCTAATCTCTATTCGGATTATTATGAACATAAATATAATTGATAATAGCGTGGGGTCCCCAGGTAATAATGTGTAAACGACCTCTATAACAAAGTTAAGTGTTACTGTGTACTGGAAGTGGAGGGCGCTCAGCCTGTCACTCCGCTACAAACACTAAGCATGGGGTCCCCACGTGAAGTTTTGTGCTGCGCGCGCCACATAAATATTATATACCTTATCGGACCTTATTTGGACGGACATTACTTGAACGCTGGAGGCCCTAGAGTTCATCTTAATGTCCGTTCAAATAAAGTCCGTCCAAGTTAAAGTCCGTTGAAATTTTTTCAAAAATTTTTCCATTTCGAACTTTTTGTCCAGAATATGACAACTATGAGAACTTTATTGTGCCGTAAGTTAACGACGGAAAGGTTCTCTTTGGTCTGCCGGAGGCACAGAAAACTCTACTAGTATATGATGTTATCAAGGGTCACTTGGCGGAAAAAGTCAACGAAATTATGGCACTCAACAACGTAGTTCATGAGCTAGTCCCCGCCCACATGACAAACTTGTTCCAGCCTCTAGATATTACGGTAAATCGTGTTGCGAAGGACATTGTCCGACGTTATTATAGTTCATATTACTGAGGGAGGTAATGAAACAGTGCTAAGAAAGCTCCACGTGATGTTAAGGTTAACCTAAAATTGTCTAAGATAAAACCGATTCACGCCGAATGGCTTGTAAAAGTTAACACTGAAATGCAGGACCGGGGTAGTTTGATAAAAAAGGTTTCCATAAAGCTAGAAATCACAGAAGCATGGACTATTTCATGCACGAAAACCCATTTGATAAAGATGATATGTGACATTAGACACTGATCATGTACACATATTTTAACATTTTTACTGCTTAATGACTCCTTTTCTTACTTACTGTATAAAAAATGGATTTAAAAATCATTTGCTGAAATTAAAAAAACGTCAAAAAATTGAAAAAAGTTCGGATTTTTGATGGTTTTGAATGCCTTCGAGCGTTCATATTAATGTCCGTTCATAATTATGTCCGTTCATGTAATGTCCGTCCAAATAAGGTCCGATAAGGTAGCGTTAAACTTAACTGGCACGCCAGTCCCTGTGCGCGGTGCTCTTTTCAAGCTTCCTGTACGTGAGAGAAGCGAGCATGATACCAGCAAACTAGGTAAGTGTTAAACCTGCTCCACACTGACTGTGGCCCCTGCCATGCACAATTTCGCAGCGAATAGCCACGAATAGAAATCGCGACGTGGGACAAGTAATTTGGACCCCTCTCGGCTGATTACTTCACAATCACATAGCCACGAGTCTACACGCACTGCATACTGCGTGACGCGCTTGTTTCGGCTTAACGGGTGATACTCGTAGAATATTTGTTCCATGTATTAGGACCTTTCCATATATTAGGACCGTCGACGAGTCCAACTCGGCGCGCGTCCTGGTAGGTTGTAAACCTACAATACTGTAGTCAGAGTTTATTATATTATTTATATATATAATATTGAATATGTAATAACAAATAAGCGCCATGAGTTGGCATAGAATTTTTTGTCTCTGATTTTGATAAATTTGGTACCAAAAGTTGCATTGCCTCTAACTTAGAGTCTAAGTGTGAATAATGCAAATTCACCGTGTAGCACGATAAGGGGCCATCTATGATCTACATAGGACGTCCGCCAAAATCGCAGATTTTCAGACCACCCCCCTGTCCGGGAAAATTTTTTTCCGAATTTTTTGATACATGTACGTTAATTGCGTATCACAAATATCTTCGGCGGCGCGCGCGAAAAGTGGCATGCAACGTATGCCAACGAATTTTCAAAACCACCCCTTTCCCCGGACGTCCAGCTACTTTTAAGAGTACAAATAAAACCAACTTAAATTCATTGTTAATAAAATGTTTGTATCACGTTGCGACCCCCACGGTCGTTTCACTTTATCGTTCTGACGATACAGGGGGAGCCGCGCACTTCGTGCGCGGCGGGTCATACAACGTATGACAATAAAATGTATAGTTATTTAAAATAGACAATAATACATTTAGTGTCGAACAAGTTCAGCACAGTTACATTTAAGTGCTCGTTCAAAATACAGGGATCTAAACTTACAAAGTAATTCGTGTCAAAGGGTTGAATAATACGTTATCAACGACCAAAACCCCCCCCCCCTCGGCTGATTACGTAATATTTAAACGACCCCTATGCCCTAACGAAGGTTGCGCGCGAGTTAAGCATTATTGGATGCACACGGCGAGGCCAAATAACGCATCGCGCTACAAGGCGGAACCCTTGTGTTCAGGTTTTTAAAATTTGAAAATAATGTTCCGTTAAATCTTATGATATTAGTACTATAAAAACAAAAAAGTTTCGTCTCGATGAGCTGATTACGATGCCATAACAATTATTTCATAATAACTGAAACTGTGAAAATTATAGGGCAAAAACTAAAAATTTGCGCGAAAAACGCACGCGCGGCAAACAAGCGCCTTGCAGCATTTTCAATTTATAGCAAAAATTGCTAGTGCTGCTACACGGTTGACGGATGTTACTCGTCTAAATTTCTTCGAAGTAGCGCGCGCCGCTTTCTTCTCGATGGCAAGTGCTACGAAGTAGCGCGCGCCGGGCCAGATCCAGACTATTAACAATGGTCAACTACACGCCTACACGGCGGAATTATTTTATTCACATTTTTAGACAACTTTTGGTACCAAATTTATCGAAATCAGAGGAAAAAATTTGGTGTCAACTCATGGCATGGCGCTTATTACATAGCACATAGACTACTGAGTTTCCCCGGGTAAAATTGCAAAAACTGATTTTTGGTCTAATTAAATAAGCCAAAAACCATGTTTTTTGAGTTAGTTAATTTCGTTGGCACATCGGCAAAATTTGCATAAAGCTAGATAAAAACATGAAACAAGCCGCACATGGCGCAGGACGATATATTAAAATACAGCAAATATGCTGCATGTATTCGATTTGTCCCAACGGATGCTCTTACATTGGTCATCTCCAAGATAGCACCATCATTTCTCTCGACCAACCCTTGACAATTTATCCATCGCCTCCTTTTTCTCCCACTCTACTCTACCGCGTCGGGAAAAAGTTAATGTAATATTGATATAGCCTAGGGAAATCGGGATTGGCCTGCCATATAATTATAATATCCTGCAGCTTATTGAAATTGAATATTTGTAAGAAGGGTGATTTTGAAATTAACAAGAAAAACACTCATCAAAATTATGCTCAAACGTTGAACATGAAATGAAACCAATGACAGTTTATAACATGTTCTATATGATCATACGCCTCAATTCTTAACCTCAAACTTATCTGCGGTAATCCTGTAAGACTGAATTTTTACCTATAATATCCAGCATGAGCTAACTCCATAACATTCATGATTTTTTATTTGAAAATTTGGCCACTTACATTAGCAAATACGCCAACAATTAAATGGCAGTTTGGGAGTTAATCAAAGAAAATCGATTAACTAATGATCGACCTAGAGGTTAAAAGTAGAGGATCAGGTCTTAGCATCTTGCATGGTCTTCAAAGACCATGTGCCGGAAACATTTCCAATTTCAGCAGCAAAGATGGCTCAGAGTCCTACACAGACTCTGGACACTGAAACTCAAAACTCAAAACTCTAATAAGAGTCCATTCAGGGATCTTATGCGGTGTGGATTGTGGCCACATGTGTTACTTTTCATACCTACTATCAGATAATAATAAGAAATTTAATTTGAAAACTAAATTAGGATAATTGAGTTAGGTCATGCTGATTGACGCTTTTAACCAGAAAGTTAGCACTATATGAATAGAATATCAAGGTAGGGAACTTTTTTAAAAATCTCCGACTGTGTTTTGGACAGCTTCAAAATATTATTATTGAATTTCGATTAACAAGATCGTATGTAAAAAATAAGCAGTGCCTTTTACTATCTATAACACTAAACTAAATTCAAACTAAACAAGCATACGCGATTAACAACAAATAAATTAAATCACCAAAATCAACCGGCACAGGTGTCAAGTAAAATTTTGTCCCAAAATAACCAAACCTTCTCCTATCCATACTGTCAACTTTGTTTGACCTAAATTTTACAAAACCTAATATCAAAGCAGATGTATAGAATGAAACTATACCTGGCAGTTGAAATGAAAACAAAAACACAAGAGAGTTATTTTCTGACTGTTAAATCTGGCTGACGAGGTATAACCCCACTAAATTCTGTAGAAACGTGCCTTTCCGATCACAATTTTAACTGCATGTGGTTTGGGGATTTGAGTAACGGGTCCGTGGATATCACTCGAATCAAGCGACTTTCGTCGTTGAAATTGGAGATAAAAATCTCGTACATTGCATGACGAGTATCAAGTTAAAATTCACAATCTAATTCTGTCGGAAGCACGTTTTCATAGAATTTTAGGACACTATATAGCCCTAGTTTACGAAATATATTAAAAATACTGACTGGCATTTTTCGAATAGCTATCCTAGAAACAGTAATGTATCTCTCTGTGACGATATAACGGGTTCGGAACTAATTTTAAGTCTTTTCGCTTGTTATCATCTTCCATACTTCTTCTCTGTTCATCTCTGACATATTTGGAGAACACTGGATATCTAGATGCTACATATCTCAAATTGTTCTTTGATTGGCTCGAGGCAATGCTCGTATTGACACCTAAAATAAGTTAGAGTTGCGACTCAGCGCGCGGGTCTGGTTTGAATAGTAGTTGTGAGGACTGGCTCTTGATCATACACTGTGTGGCTTGATAATGAGCTACTACTAGACTCCGGTGACGCTATCAGCGATCCTGAAACAAGAAAATAGTCATTATTTCAGATTTTTAGCGCCATTAGTATTACAACTCTCAACTTCCAGAAACTACCGATTATAGACCCATTAAGATTGTGCTGAAGAAAACCAAGTCAGGATCCAACTGAAACATTTAACTTAAACAGGAAACATTTCACTTAAAAATTTAACAGTCTGGGTAAATCCCTTACCAATGTTGTTGGGGTGACCAGCAGTTGGAGACACAGTCGTGTAGAGGTTCTCCTCGGCAACAGTTCCCCTGGATCTGGTGAGCGAACTGCCGTTCGTGCTCCCGTTACTTTCGTTGTAACGCATAATGTTGGGGTGTTGGTGGAGATCTTCAGGGTTCACCTTCTCCAAATCATCGTGGTGCACTAAACTTATAGCACCTGACAGGAAAAACTCATTTTCGTTATTTGGTAGAATAATATTCAAAGTTATTCACGGAGAAGCGGCCTATGCCCTGATGCCCAGTGAAAATGTAATGTTAAATGAGAATCATACAAATGTTTGCTAAAAACTTGAACCATGATCGTTACTTTTCAGGTGAAGAAAAATAATACTTATTCGCATAATTTATCGATTATAATTGGGCTTATCATGAGAAGAAAAATTCCCACATTGAAGACTAGCGTGTAATAATCAAACCTGTTTTAGCGTCGGAAGTTTTGAGCATGTACAAATGAGTCCCGTCTGAATGGATGTAGCACAGTTGGTGGGTCCGTTTGTTTCTGAACAACTTCAACTCTACTGAATAATGTGAGTAAAAGTTCAGCGATGGAGTGTCGGACGTTTTTTCGCCCATTTAAGCCATCAAATCAAAATTTACCATGATAATGAATATTGTAGAGTTCTGATTTTTCCGTATGTATTATATTGCTGACCAGGCCAGATAACTTCAGTTAATGTGGTAAGTCTATAACTGTTTTTATGTGAGGAAGAGAAATACTAACGGCCATGAGGGGGTGGTCTGTGGGGGTCTTGAGGTATGGGTCTAAATCCAGAGTCTTTTCCATTGTTTGTTTTCAGGAGTATCCGGTACAGTATGTAACTTCCGCTGACTGTAATCAATACTGATATTCAATTATTCAAATCTACTCTTTATTATAAAACACGAATAGTGAGGAGATCGAAAAATTGTCAAGGGAAAATGGTAGACTATCATAACCAACTAAAGTATAAGGAGCTGATTAACTTTATCATATAATACTTTAAAGCGATCTTTTAATTCATAAAAATAAATTACTGCATCAATCCGCGATAAAATGAAATTGACTAACTGATGAAAGCTAGCCCAACGACGACGACGACCACAATAACAAGTGTGTTTTTGGATTCATCTTTGTGTGGAGTCACTGTAGGTGTGTGTGTAGGGTCATCAGGCGGAAGAAGCAAGATGGTGTCGATTATTGTGTTATTGACATCCGCGACCAGCAGGTAGTGTCCTTCAACTAGGAATATTGTTTGTTACTCAAAGAAGAACACTGAATGTATGAAAGTAAAATCAAGGAAATTGTGGTCAGTTGAAGGTTGGTACCTGACTTGCCTTTGATTTTCGGAGACGGCCGCTCTTTATGTTGACACGTGACAGCTACTCGTGCGTTTGATTGGACGATGCTGATCGTTTATTCGCTGTCATGCGTCAAGACAAAGTCCATATTACTGCCTCCGAAAAACATCGGCAAGTCAGAAAATACCATAGCTGTTTGTTTTAATCAAAGTAGAACATTGGTATGCAGCTGATTGGATATTTGAAAGGTGGTTCGGGGTTGTTCACATGTAACGTAATCAATAAACGGCAGAAGGGTTTTACATACAAAATTTTGCGGCTGCCAAAAGGAGAGAGGGGGTTTCTGGCCCGTGACTAATCCAAACTATAAAATAATTGTATTACTAAAGAAAATAAGGCTAATTTAGTTATTCGTTGTCAATAGGTACTGCAGCGGGCATCATGTATCATTAAAACTCACTGCAGTTATTGTTGTTGTTTCCCTGATCAGTATCATCGCATTTAGTTATAATTATACTAGAAGAGCAAGTATATCTTATAGATAATACAATTACATGTAAACTGATTCTACAATTTGATTGGAGTTAGGTATACGACTTGGAGATAAGCCAGGCTATAATTAACTTTAAATTTCTTGCCGTTCATTCGATATATCGGGTTTAGAGAGAGGTCAGGCTTTGACTACGTAATTATCAGTCAGGATGGGATGGGGAGTTTACCTGTGATTAAGGTTCATTACGAAAGGGGGACCGGGGGGAGTGTTCAGTGATTACGTAACATGTGAACGACCCCTAATAAGCAAGAGTAATTTAGTTGAATCACCCTCGATTAATTTTAATCTCAGAACCCAATAATTACAAGCGTTAGCTTTTAAAATGGGGGTCTAAAATAATTCATGTGGGCTAATGTTCCTGCTGGCAACACAGTTTTAGTAAGGTCCAAAACGTTCGCCCAAGAATCGAAAATTCTAGAAATTAGAGGAAGGTCAGAAGCACTGTGTATCGTGGAGAGTGTACATCATGTATGTAACCACGCTGTGTAATCTGGCCGTCTAAAATAATCTTAATAAGTGGTCAACTTTCAGTCCACGCTGCCATGATATATTCGTCCGTGCTCAAAGATATTAGGCTTGCAACAACAAATTGTCTTTCGCGCGTACCATTTATAACATTCTTCATCTCCGAGAAATCGTTTGCAGGCAGGATTTAGAAAAATGCTAGCGAATGAAATGACTAAAAATGACCTAATCGTTCGGAAAATCACTGGGGAAAAGGTGTTAAAGGGACAGGAAATCATGTTGTTTTACCAAAACAAATAGGTATTGGATGTTGCACGAGTATGTGGGTCACATGAAGTGCAAACAAGGCATTCCAAAAACATATCATGTCAATGTGATGCGGGTGTGAATAATCAAGTGACATGTAAATTGTACATTGTACATGCTATACAAATACATGCCCCGTTACCCTCATTGAGGTTATTCTTTCGAGTTGGGCGGATATTTTTAGTGGTGTTTCCTGCAAACAGTATTAGATAACAGATGGACTTATTCATTATTGTTAAGGATGAACAAATCTAAAAAATATGCTCTTGACACAGCTTGTTTTTTATTTCGCGGAAAAACTGATATTTGTAAATCATCTTGCAACAAAGATACTCAATTTATGAATATCATACTACTACTAATTACTACCAGATAGCTTTCACATAGATAGGCAAACTTTCATTTACTTCTATACAGATATTTTGATTTGTTTAACTTGCAAAAAGTATGTAATATATTATTAATATCAATATATTATACCATTATGTTAGCAAAATTGGTCAAATTTGACCTTGCACCCATAATGAACTACTATTTGTGAGCACCTCCTACTCTGTTCTGAAATAATCATATTACGTGAGAAGATAATAGTACTCTGGTACTGGAGATGGCACCATTATTTCAGTTTATTTCACCACCTTTAATTGCGATACCAGGTTCCTTTCAACAATGTTCGCAAACTTTGTTTAAATTATAGGAACACTGATTTAGATAGCGTATATAACTATTGACAGGGTCTAAAATAGCGAAATGAAATTTTAAGGGTTCACTTTGCTCACCTGATGAATTATATGTGGCTGATTGAAATTTGACGTTTACTTTTCTGAGGATGGTTGGCATCCCTACAAAGATCTCTTTAACCTCGTAACTCCACTTAATATAAGTAAAATAAAGACACCGTAATCCATGTTTCTGCACTTATTCTGACTAACCCGTGGCCGTCCCTCTTCCTTATTTGAGCATCCAAAAAGAATTAGTTTCGATTCTTTTAGAATTAATAAGCACGAAAGTTGTCTACAAGGACAGTGTACATTGTACACCAGCCCGCAGCACATAACGCAGCACATAACGTAGCCCAATATAAATCCTGGCCTGCTTCCTCTTGTACAGCGATGATAAAAGCACTCAACTAGGAAAGGTTGCCTGGTATTGTTATATACAGTAGATTTGCTAATTATGATCACAGCACACAGTACGCACACTCTTTACACACACACACACACACACACACACACACACACACACACACACACACACACACACACACACACACACACACACACACACACACACACACACACACACACACACACACACACACACACACTCTCTCTCTCTCTCTCCCTCTCTCTTTCTATCTCTCGCTCCCCTCTCTCTCTCTCTCTCTCTCTCTCTCTCTCTCTCTCTGGTAAATGCTACATCACGTTAGCAGTATAGCAAAGTTCCTGCTCTGGAGGAACGAGTTAGAAAGGTTCCCGAATGATCCGGTAAACGATTCCATATAGTATTTCCTATTTGCTCACAGACAGGTGACCAGTGCTTGCATATAATACACTGGGCATCATGAAAAGGCCCATGTGTAGAGAACAATACAGTATGCCCCAGCAGTATGAATGTGCTATCTTACACACCAGAGCTTTATATAAGAGAGTAGTTACCTTCGAGTAGCGGTAAAGATTCGTGTACATAAACACGACCTGGACCGTCCAGATTAACATCTCCCAGTATCCCTAGGAATTGAGTGGTTAAAAACATGGTGATTAACGTTTGTTGACAGGGGGCCCAGAATGTGTTTTTTTCAAGAATGGTCAGCTTATACTTAATCTGAAAATGCATTTTCTGGGACCTATGGACCCGAAATACGGAAAACGCCGGGCCCGGCTAATATAGCTATGACCACATGCAATCAGTGACAATATTACAGCACGTCATGCAAGGAATGACGCAAAGGAATCTCGTTAGGAATGTTCTCGAGAACTGTTAAGGAATGTAAGGACGCACCACTCAGGTCCCCCATGTTCAGATTGTACGGATACTGAGAAGGAGTTCTGGAGCAGCTTTGTTGTTTATTGTGGGCTCCTTTCAGGGTCTTGCCGTCATCAAGTTTTACCGTAAACAATTGTCCAGCTTTATAGTATTTTCTGAAAGGATGCGATTAAAGAGGAGCTAGAAACACGGACTCTAACCAGAACCATAAAATTGATAACTTAGTCTTGGAACCTTTAGTTTGGGAATGAAAAAGAGAAAACTTACATCGATGTGTTACTGACGAGGTACCACTTAATTTCTTTTCCGCAATACTTCTTGCTCAGAACCTCCACTCTGACATAGGTATCCGCTGAAAAGTTACACCGTCACAATTGAACAGGAAACCGCTTTATAATAAGCTTGTAATTTAATGGATCGGGCAACCCGTCAGAAAATTGTCTTCTTAAATACATTATAGATAGCACTGTATCGCCTAATTATCAGCTCGGAACCCTGCAGATCCTACATGTTCTATAGTTCTACCTGCCAGGTGACCTCGCCTTTGCTCGAAGTTGAACCTAAGGACCCGTTGGCTTGGTCCGTCCACCAGAACAGCTTCTAACTTCTTTGTGGCGTTGGGCGCCCATTCGGGTCTGATGTCAACTTTGGTCGTCTCGCTGTGTCCATCTTTAGTCTTGTAGACAAGTTTCAAACTGAAATACCACTATTAGGGTCAGAAGGTAAATTCTTTCTGTATGTAGAATGTATGTATGTACGACCGCCCACGTGCAAATTAGACGAGAAATAGGAAGTTGCGTAGTTACTAGTTACCATGGTAACGAGGATTGTTACACGCACGTGCACGTGCAAAGATTGTTAAAACGGCATTTTTTTAGTTTTTGTTGATATTACGCTGTGTTTAGTACGAGCAACATTTAAATCGGCTGTATCTTTGGTTGTGACGGATATTTTTTGACGCGATTTTAACTTACTAACAAAAAATGCTATTACCTTCCTCCCTGTGACCAGTGGTTTTCTAGTTTCTACTATAATTCAGAGAATTCTGTTTGTACGTACACTGTACGACCGCCCACGTGCAAATTAGATGAAAAATAGGAAGTTGCATAATAACCATGGTAACGAGGATTTTTACACGCACGTGCACGTGCAATGATTGGCGAACGGCATTTTTATCGGTTTTGTTGATATTACGTTGTGTTTAGTTCGAGCAACATTTTAATCGGCTGTATCTTCTTTTGACGCGATTTAAACTTACTAACAAAGAATACTATTAGCTTCCTTCCTGTGACCACGGGTTTTCTAGTGTCTACTATAATTTAGAGAATTATTTATGCTATATGCTATATGCTGTATGCTGTACGACCGCCCACGTGCAAATCAGACGAAAAATATGAACTTGCGTAGTAACTAGGTAACGAGGGTTATTACACGCACGTGCAATGATTGTTTTAACGTCATTTTGATCGGTTTTGTTGATATTACGCTGTGTTTAGTACGAACAATATTTTAATTGGCTGTATCTTCGGTTGTGTAGAATATTTTTTGACGCGATTTGAACTTACTAACAAAAAATACTATTAGCTTCCTCCCTGTGACTACGGGTTTTCTAGTATTATATAAAGTGAGACGATATATCTTCGAGCTTTTCGTCTAGAAGTGAAACGAATTCTTCATATTATGGAGCCAGGGTGTGGACTGGCTACACCAATAAATGTATTTAATTGTAGTTGTGAAAATAGTTTTTGTATATATCTGTTACCATTTTACATGAAAACTAAAATGCACATCGAACATTTAAATAATCTACTAGATAAATAGTTTATAAAAATAATTTATAGATGCTATTGTGATCGGGTTTTCAAAAATAAACGATTTACCTTTTGCCTATGATGGACTCTTTCCCGAAGAAGGTGGGTATTTTTTCTTTGTAGTTTTCAAGAGTTATACTCCGCTTCACGAAGGACGTAGTCTCTTCCGCATCTCTGTCATCGGAGAAGTCCTCTCGGTAAAACGGTCTCTGGTTGGCGCTCGAGTTAACTTTGCAGACGTGGGCGGATGCAAAGTTTGGTGTGTCCAAAATTTCCAGAGAAGTAACCTGAGGGGATGTCATTAATACAGTTTATAAGCACATGATGAATATATCTGAATGAACTGCAACAAAACTGAAAACAGAGGAAACTTGAACAGATCAGATATTACAAAAAATAAAAGTTAAAACCTTTATCCCCTCGTAAGTGACAGTGATCGGTTGCCAAGCAGTTCTCTGGGTGAGCATCACTTTTCCGTCTGTGATAGGTTTCTCCAGAGTCACTACAGTCTCTGTCAACTCCTTCACTATCCCACACCTCATCAACACTCGGTTCAGGGCGTCTTCGGGTGCGAACACATGTACTCCTGGGATGGTTTTACCGTTAACTACATTTGCAGTAATAACTTTGTTAGTACAGAATTTAAATAGAATTTAACCCATATATTTTACACACATGAACTGCTGTATCAAATATCATCAATAGTAGATCCATCTCAGTTACACTGCCAACAATTTACCAGCAACCATCTCAGTTACACTGCCAACAATTCACCAGCAACAACGGCATGATGCTATGCGACTGATAACAGTCGTAAAAACAAAATTTTGGAATAGCTAGCTAGCTGCAGCTATGCGCCTGTTTCCACTCTAACAACTCCAAAAGTGCATTAATATGATAATTTCAACTTTACAATCCTAAAGGCAACTTTATCTGTGCTCAGCTATGTTTTGTTCGATAAGCTCCATTTTAATCGTTTCAATAATATCTAATCTTGTGTGATTTTTTTACTTTGAATTGATAACACTTATTATATATATTTTTGAGTAAACATTGGCTAGTACTTCGGGCCGGTCCCAAAAAAAGGGGAAAAAATAGAAACAAAATAGAAACGAACCTATGAATTTGTTGTTAATCTGGTTGAGTGGAAGGTTAACCTCGTTCTTGACACTAAATACCGTCTCCCTGTTGGTGTAATGGTTCCTGGTGTTGGGCTGGAACACGTCCAGTCTCCTCCTGAGATCTCCGACAGGACAGAGGAAGCTACTGTCGTAGACACACATTGTGCAGCAGTTGTTGTACAGATCACCGACGTGACACTTCCGCTCACACGACATGCCCTCACCAGTCCTGTGTTATAGTACTGTTATTGATATGCGTAACGTAATGACTGTGTAACTGGGTGTTTGAGAGGAAGTGGGAGGATTGGAAACGGTGATGTTGCTTTCTCCGAGATATAACAAGTATAATCACAAAAACATTCACAACAGTGAACAAAGGCAGGAATGTAGGAATGCAGTACTCACAGTGGACAGTAAGCAGGGCAGACCCCGAATGGGTTGTACGGTTCCTTGTCCCCCTGACAACCATCCCTCTCTGTGAGATCCAAGAAGAACATGCTGCTCCGACACAGTGTAGCCATCAGGACGGTGGTCTGTCTCACTACCATGTGTTCTATCATCAGGACTATCACCCGTTGGTCCATCATGCCAGGAGCGGTGGGTTCTAGCAGACTGTATGATATCCTCTCCTCACCCTGGAGAGACAGGTCACAGGAGACGCTTGTCACTTTACAGCACAACTATTTATGTCATATGTGTACAATAAAATATATTGCACTATACTAAATGGTCTGTAATTGCTGCTTTACCCCTCACTTAAACATTATGCAATGACTTTAGAAGAGCGTCAATATGGACCGTCTTGATTGTAAAGATAGAAATTGATAATGAATACCCTGTAGTCTGTACCTCATGGTATAGAACTCATACACGGTAAAGGTTTTGTTTAAGCAGTTTGGAACATTGAGCTCAATTTAAGCAAACTTTTGTTACGCAACCATATTACACACAGCAAGTTTGGGCATGTTAATCACATCATGGACTTGAAGTACATTAGACATTATGTACAACACGTACATTATACATCATGGACATTAGGCATGTATCTTCGCGGGGAAGGCTGGTACATCCCGCCAGGCACCAATAACTTTGGAAGGTGTTTGAGTACACAATTGATAAAATTTCTTATGCTTTGAAATTGTAATATTCTAATTTTAAATTTAAATAAATTTCACCACTGACGCATGCTTGATGTACAATGTACATTGAAGTCGATGTTGATAGGCAACGCTGTCGTTGTTTAAGGATCGACAAATGGGTGAATATAATTTAATCGAAACCATTTAAATTGTAATAAAGTACCAGCACCTTCCAAGGTAATGTTTTTACATGGCATTCAAAGATAACCACCTTAACCATCATGTCACTTACCTGTTTGTAAGTGATGGTAGCACACTTGAACTTGACATCGTTCTCAGGTCTGATGGCTACACCTCTATACATCATTGAGTTCCGCCCGTACAACGTGTATGTTTGGTTCAGCGGCCTTTCTTCTCTGGATGTCTGCAAAGTGGGAGATAGTTACAATGGTGCTGTGATGCTCATAGCATTGTATCACAATATTATTTCTACTAATATTTACATCGTGACAATTATCAGGTTCCGAGACTTTGTTGGATCAAAAGTTTTCGAGAGATACAACCCATGAAAAAAAAGAAACATTTATGAAATAATCTATAGACTGTCACCTTGAATGGCGGAAACATCTTGCGAGAAATCGGGGACCAGCCTTTACTTGTCGTGATCTCGTCGCAATCCCATTGATCTCCCCCAAATATCTGAATAGGAGGCAACTCGTAGATGGAAACCTCCCATTTACCAGGGGTATTCTGGTGAGCCGACTGGTAAGATTGCTGGATGGGACTCCAATCGTCTCGCTGTAAGAGTTTCAAAACACTCCCGTCCAAGAAGGAGATATCAGAGGATAAAGGTGCCAAGCCTTCAATCCTACTCCATGCTACAATCTTCTCAGTCGTCCCATTAGACTTGCTGGTCGTGTTCAGGATGACCAGGTGCTGACCAAGCGACAAGGTCTCACTGGCTAGATTATTGTCCACGAACATTTTCAGATTTATTTCCATGTTGTTCTTGAGCTCGAGGCGCCCATGTTTCTTCCAAAGATCTCCCGCCGCACAACTCTGATGGCCTGTGTCGGAGGACGGATCACAATTCTCGTTATATTTCGCATCCTCTGTTAAAACCAGATCTGGGTTGTACAGAGAGTCCCTGCTGTGAATGTTCTCCCCTCGGATCTCCCACTTTAGATCCTCATCTAACCTCTCTCTATTATCGACCGTTCTGGTCAAGTTAACTATTATATATGATACGGCTAAACTTTCTTTACGAAATGCAACAAACCCGGTCAAGGGACTATCGAACCAAGCTATTGTGCTCATAAAGTTCGGTCGTAAACTGTTCTGATCGTATATTGTGGCACAATATACCTTATCTGGCTGATTGGGAGAGTTGTGGCGAATTCGAACCACTATTGAACGGCCCACTAACCCATCCTTCCCCTTGATTTGAGCACACTTGGGTATATTGGTTGGGTCGTGGCCCAATGGATTACCCTTGATACACACTGGACGAGTCTGTGTGGGGTTATTAAGATCAGGGTTGATCTCCTCATTACATTCAAAACATCCCCCTAACTCGAGTTCTGAACAAGTTTCTGAGCCCATTTTCACTGGCAGATAATGAATCTGCCATGATGCTGTTAGTTGGTCCGGCAGGGAAAATGAACTGTATACTTGGACTGGGTCTGAAATGTTGCAGATAATCAGATTGAGTCAAACTCAAAGCTTGATTATTATTAGCGAAAAGTCTAACCTTGATTCAGTGGTTCAAATATTGATAAAAATTCAAAGATGAAAAGCTTAATTTCCAATAGAATAGACGTATATAAACCAAATTTATCAATTATATTATCTGTTATTGTTTTATAGGATACAAAACATACCGTTTGCATTGGTTCTGACGAATTTGATTTCAAATTGTGAATCGCCTTCTTGTAACTGCTCAATTAGTGCGACTCCTTGTTGTTCAAACGATGCGACTGAAATCAAAGTTTAAAATCAAACTACAAGAATCTGATATTTACACACATGTGTATGCAAAACCATCTTTAAACATGTATGCGGATCTATGATATGACCATCTTATACCGTATCACAGTTCTTATATCCCTCTCTCAGCACAAAGAACGATCAGAGAAATTAAGAGGGAAAATCATCAAAAAAATAGACATACAAGTACAACAAAATTTCGGACATTAAGAACATTATATTGGGTTTGAAGAGATACAATAATACATGTTAAATGGAATTTGTTACAGAAAAAAATACATTGCATCATAAGAAAGTTCCTGCAGAACATTGAGTAAATATATTAAATACTGTATGTTATATTCACAATTTCATCAACAATTTCATATTTACAAGTCAATTGGAAAGAATTTGATAGTTTTACATTAAAAGATCAAATGACCTTTAAGAAATTATAATAGAAATCTAGTCATTAAAGTATACCTGTCACATGAGCAAGCAAGAATATCCAGGTATTCAGGAACATTGAGTCATTTTAGCTGCACAGATATTTTATTTAATAATGTTGTTATCTTTTAAATCAAGAGAAGGCAAGCAGCAAAAGCTTCTTAATACATATATTCAAAACAAATTGTACATTCAAAAATAAATCCTAATATAGTTAATAGTATCAAATCAAAATAATATACAAGTTTCCAGTATACCAAGTCTTATCATTTTCAAATATACACTTATAATGCAAAGTTCTTTAGCAATCCTTTCAATCAGATATGTCCACAACAGACTAAACATGGGCAAGTATTTGAAGATAAGGTGATAGGTTGAATGTCCTGAGCAATTAATCAAACAGGAGAAAACTTCTCTGCCTATTACCTACCATTCAGCTATAATACAGTGAGGGATTGTCCAAATATTCTATAAGCATTAAGCAACCTAAGGTGGAGATGGGGTGTGGATTTGAAAATGTTTTTACAATAACGGCCCTTAAGAGTCTTTGTACCTTAAAACTCCACATAGCTTCAATCCACACATGTATCTTAATGGAACAGAACATACTTACGACTCCAGCAAAGATAATTGCTAGTATCAAACTCAGTTAAATTAGCAGTAAAGGCAATTTTTAAGGCTTGAGATCCAGTACAGTGTAATGCAAAGGATACATTTCAAAGTGCACAGAGTTGACAATAGCATGAGGGATTGTTCACATAATTATGAAAGCCAAATGTTGGCCATTTCAGACCCCCACTATTTTATACCTCTCCATAGCTATCGTATAATAATTGGGAATAATTACACTAGTAGTACAGTCAAATACGTCTTTTTGTCGGACAAAATTCGCAACAAAGCGATTTTAACGGGATATTTTCGGGACAGGTCCCAGGAATCATTCCAGAGAGTTCCCAAAAAAAAAGACTTCAGGAAAATCCACAATTACCACTTTTCTACCACCTTTTTACCACTTTGGTATTCCGCAAATAAGTCACGTTCTGAATATCCTAGAAGATTTTAGTTTAAAGCAGTGTGTTTAGAAAACAAAGAAGAACAACTTTCTCTTTAACAACTTTTTCAAAAATAAATTATTTAATTAATTAATTAAATAATTAAAAAATTTTCAAATATTTCAAAAATATATTTTGATAAAAATGTTCACAATTACATTCCACGTATAATGAACTAATTTTTATAAAACTTTTGAAAATTTTCACTTTCAATATTTTGGACTTGTAAAATTTTCGAAATTTGTAAAGAATAACCACTATTTACCACTTTTTACCACTTCGAATCTCCGCTGATAAAACGACTTCTGAATGTCGTAGAAGGTTCTAGATTGAACCAGTGTTTTCAAAACATAAAAGAGAACATCTTTTTATTTGATAACCTTTGGATTAAATAATTAATTAATTAGTTAATCGATTATTAAACAAATATTCAAAAATTATAATAATTATTTTCGATCAAAATATTTTAAAATTACATAACACGAATAATTGACAACTTTTCATTAAACTAATCGGAAAATCGAAGCAGTACTTTATATAACCATATATACTAGATAAGAGTCTTACTTATGAGTCCTCAGCTGGCACATTGGTGCAATAAGCAATTGTGCTGACATTTGAGGCAGGTTGATCCACAATGTATTCCTGCTTTTCTGCATGAACAAGCATTGCCACAACCTGACTTTAAACATAAAACAGTTGCAACTGATGTTTTGAATGAGCTTTTTCGGAGCTGTACTCATAAGAGTGGTCACTGGAACATGCACCCCATTGTTCATCTTCCATCCCCATTCCCCAGCTTATCGGATCTATAAGGTCATTCTCATCCCACGCCTGCAGCTGATGGTAAACACGATAAGTGCTGCCCCCTGTATAAGTAATGTTTCAAATCGGTATTATAGCAGCAACGTGGTCGTTAAATAACACTTAGAAATCAAAATATCCTCCAAGTTACGTTTAGGGGGAGTGGGGGTGCCATGAGTCAATACACATACGTTGAGTCTTATAATCAGCATGTACTCGTGTTTGCGAACATGCTGTAAAATGCACTATAACATATTGCAATAGGCCATTACATTCGGAATATGATCTGAAAAGATGGCGCGAAACGGATTGAAAATGACGAAGTTATCAAGCAATTTGTTTATCTCGTTAGCGAAACTGATTGGGTTATCAATGATTACCCAATCGATAATCACGTGACAGGATGTTAGGATACCGTAATTGGGCTTTCTGCACGATTTCTATGCCACTCATTCACTGGATCAGACACCACCAGTCGGATCCACGGAGTTGGTAAGGATCGGCTATTCAGAACGATTCCGATAGTGGGAATCTAGTGCACTAAGCTACGGAGAAATAATAATAATAAAAGTCACGTCGGAGAAATTTTTGGGCGAGCGAATTAGTAAGAGCCTAACGTATGTGTACTATACCACCTCCCCCCTCCCCCACACAATAACTTACCCTGTCTGTAATCCGATTTGAGGATTTATCATTTGGTGCGATCTCTACGTTACAGAATGGATATTTGTTTAAACTGTGTTCGTGAACTAAAGATGGTTCTGACTCAGTTACAACGGACTCATCTTCATTGGCCGATATGAATCTTTGGAACTGGTCTATGATCACTGTCTGCAATAACACACAATAGACGTCACTCTGAGCAGAATCAGTCAGGCCGTTGTACTGCCGTTTAATTTCGTTCAGTGACCAGGGGTTGTTGAATGTTGATCCAACCTGTGTTACGATGGTTTGTTTATTTATACAGAGTATGAGAGGCCTCAGGATAATGAATAGGACTGTAACCATCCGTTTCAAACTTGCTGGGCATAGTTTAAAAGTTAGTGTACTTACTTAAAAGATAAATAGTTAAAATAGTACCTGGGGTTTAACTCCTATTCACCGGAATTAACTCCTCATTTGCCTGGTAAATTAAAACATAGTATTGGTTGAGAATGCCTCTAGTTGCGCTCTCGAGTCTCGGTTGACATAAAACTGAAAAGTAAAACGGTAAAAACATATTACTATTATTGTATATTAGTTGACAGCTACTTACATAGAATCTGCACGCGTAGAGTATCAGGCACACGATGTGTTCTTCTGTTTTCAAAATGTCAACTATTTGGTGTGATTTCAGTCCTCGATTTTTAGCATATTTAACTTTTTTACGAAGAGAAGTCAACATAAAGTAAAAGCTGAAGCTTACACTTCCAAACGATAAACTGACAATCAGAGATAAGATCTCTAGTTAGCGATTGAAAAATTGCTAAGTCTTGTTTAAACAACCATTTTAACAATATAGTTAAGCACAATACTAAGTCGAGAGATATGATGTGTTAATATTTAATAGTTATTAGCTATAATAGTATCGTACACATTTGGATATTTTACCGTTTATTCCATTTATCTGGATCTCTTTTTATCTGTTATCTAATTCTAATCTATGTGACGATGTATGTTCTGTTATTCAAGTAAATTCATTTTACGTTTCACGTCACGGCAAATATTTTTGATAAAAATTATATTTTTAAATTTTTAAAAATTTAATTAATATTTAATTAATTAATCAATTGATTATCTTATCCAAAGGTTGTCAAATAAAAAGATGTTCTCTTTTATGTTTTGAACACACTGGTTCAATCTAGAACCTTTTACAAGATTCAGAAGTTGTTTTATTAGCGGAGATTCAATGTGGTAAAAAGTGGTAAATAGTGGTTATTCTTTACAAATTTCGAAAATTTTACAAGTCCAAAATATTGAAAGTGAAAATTTTCAAAAGTTTTATAAAAATTAGTTCATTATACGTGGAATGTAATTGTGAACATTTTTAACAAAATATATTTTTGAAATATTTGAAAAATTTTTAATTATTTAATTAATTAATTAAATAATTTATTTTTGAAAAAGTTGTTAAAGAGAAAGTTGTTCTTCTTTGTTTTCTAAACACACTGCTTTAAACTAAAATCTTCTAGGATATTTAGAACGTGACTTATTTGCGGAAAACCAAAGTGGTAAAAAGGTGGTAGAAAAGTGGTAATTGTGGATTTTCCTGAAGTCTTTTTTTTGGGAACTCTCTGGAATGATTCCTGTGACCTGTCCCGACCATATCCCGTTAAAATCGCTTTGTTGCGAATTTTGTCCGACAAAGGCTTAAATTAGGAAGGATTTGACTGTACTATAGCCCTCTCACCAAAGCTAGCATATATACAGGGTGGGCCAAAAGTCAGTGGGCATAAGTTGGCCTTAATAGCTCAGTCACTGAGTGACCAATTGAAATAATTCTTTCTGGTATGACTTACTACCACCACTGGTTCGAGAAAAATATTTGAGTTCATTTATTTTAAATGAAGGTTCATTTTTGCATTTATTTGATAGTTTGGATAGTCAGATCGAGCTGAATTTTATTGAATTGTGTTTGGCCATTCGAATAACGTTTGTCCTGAAAAAATTAGAACTGTAGCTTCTCAGATGACCGAGACAGAACAAACAAATATCTCGCAGAGATAAAAACATGGATGGTGAAAAACTACATGAAACTGAACGAAACTAAGACAGAACTATTGGTGTTAGGAAAGAGCCATGTTCTAAAAAGTGTGAACTCAGTGTCAGACTGCAATTTGGAAGCACTGAAATTCTACCTACGGAGTGCAAAGGAGACAGCTGGGAGAGTCTGGGTGTCAAATTTGATGAAACTTTAAATATGGAAAGACAGATCAATAATGTCAAAAGGAAATGTAGCTGGATAATGATGAACCTAAGAACTATTGGTCGTTACCTGGATGAAGACATTAAATTGATGTTGGTGAAACAACTGGTAATATCTAAATTAGATAACTGTAATTCTCTATACATGAATCTACCCAAGACCATACTAAACAAACTTGGATCCACCCTTAATGGGGCAGTTCGTTTCATCTATAACATAGAAGACAGAACCACGGACTGGTTCCCTTCTATAAGATTTTTTAAATTTTTAATAAATAAAATTATTCAAACAATATACACATAATATAGCAATGACCCTATATAAAATCTACCCTTTAAGAATTTAAAAAATTTCTAAACA